TAATAATAATAATAATAATAATAATAATAATAATAATAATAATAATAATATTAATAATAATAATAAGACTCTCCAAGGAACCTCTCCACTGGATGACCGAGGAGGGTAAAAGGAAAACGGTGGTGTGTTCACAGCAGCAAAATGAACCCATGAAATGAAAGCACCTTTCCTCACGACTGTCAAATTATTTAAGGTTGTGTGCCTGCAAGAAGGTTTTCCTCATGCAAACAGAAATGATTCCACTTCATGCTTTTAACATGATGCTGCTCTGGAAAATGAGATGGTCTACCTTTAAATGCATCTTATTTTATACCTGTTATTTTGAGGTTAGATCATTCGGTTATAGGAGGTTGTTATGTAATTTTATGATACCTTTTTAAAAAATGAAATAAATAATATGAATAATATAGTACAACACCAGGAAAGAAGAGTTTAAGGTTACTGTTAAATCTTTTGCTTTGTTATTTTCACAAATACATATATTTTTTTACCATTTTTGGACAATAATACCTTATTTTAATATACTGATGCAATAAAATCAAAACCAGCCACTAATATTAGTTATGAGTACTGTAAAGTGCCAAATTTGAATTTAATCTAATTGTCTGAGGTCTCAGAAAGGCTTTCACATAATGTTGTGTGTACTTGGACTAACCCAACACGACAGAAACTGACTTAATCAAAATAATGAAAAGTACAAGATGTGTTATTATTTACAGTGGGGGAAATAAGTATTTGACCCCTTGCTGATTTTGCAGGTTTGCCCACTTACAAAGAATGCAACGATCTATAACTTTAATCATATGTACATTCTAACAGTGAAAGACAGAATCCCAAAGAAAATTACAGAAAATCATATCATATGAATTTATAAAAATTGATAACCATCTGATGAGGAAAAATAAGCATTCTTTGTAAGTGGGCAAACCTGCAAAATCAGCAAGGGGTCAAATACTTATTTCCCCCACTGTAAATGGACTGTATTCTATCCTTTTATTCTCTCAGGTTATCAAACTGCTCCATTCTTCTTGAAAGGTTTTTCATATTTACCTTAAGAGGTGTACAACCTTTTAAACCTAATTGCCTCCTTTTTCTGGTCAATACGCGTGCCAGAAACGTCAGGTGATTAAAGTTTTAATTGATTTAAACGGGAGAATCTCCCAGAGTCAGGGTGTGTGATTCAGATGAACTGACTGATGATTGAAAACACAATTTGAGATCAGCAGGACACCGAGGATCACCCAGGAAAATTAATCACAACGACTCTAGTGGGAAATAAACAAGTCTCACCCAACTGAGCAGAGTCATATCGTATCTAACATTTGCTCTGCTGACAAAACAGATACTAATGGAAAGCAATAATGGGGGAATTGAGATGCAGAGGGTTCTGCAGAATCAGTAAAAAAAAACATTAACAAGATTTTTTTTGTGTGATGTAAAGCAATAGATAATATGCTGAAAAGAAATGTGTGGAAAAAATGATTAAATTAACCATTTTATTTACTAACCACTGTTAGTTTCCCTGTCTGTTTAAGTTTTTCAATAGTAGATAACACATGCTGATGTAATTTTGATGTAATGAGGCAACAAAATAGACTTTTCTCTTCCATTTTCAAAGACAAAATTAAAACCCTTTCTGGAAACAAGGTCACACATATTTCATAGCAGTCAGAAAGCTAATTCAGTCAAATATTTAGCATCTAGAAGGGTAAAAAAATAACTTTTAAAATTGAAAAAATTGTTAAAATATATATAGTATACATGGAAATTTGTAATCTAAATTCATATGATTACATAAACATATACATAACCATTTAAATTAAATCAGTTCTTGAATAAATAAAATCATGATAAAAGATAAATAATTTAAAGAAACACTTGCAGGAGTATAGGAAATATCATACATGAATTTATAATGTTTGGTAAATTTTGTTTAAGAATTTGTTTCAAATGTGTTGACTTGCAAAGATTCCCAAAATAACTGCATTTTAATTTAATGTCATATAGGATTTTTTTCCAATTACTTTTAATGCAGAACCATTTGATACTACAGCAAATGAAAAAATAGCAGGATTATATATATTTAGATTTTAATCATGAGAATAAGATTAAAAGACCAAAGTTTGACCATAGTCTGAACTTCATTTTTGGCATCAGTAGGGGTCAGAAGCTAATAGCAACCGTCTCCATAGCAACGCTTCCTCTTGGGTCCTTCCTTTTCTTTTCTAGTTTTATCCATTTGTGTAAACAAAGACCGTTTTTTGCCTTTTGATGGAATATATTATGCCTCTTGGAAGACGAGTAGGATAAAACTAAAGCTCTAAAGTTTCTGAAGAGAATCGGGACTCAGCTATTTGTGAATCCCCAGCCTTGACTCTGAGTGGCGGGCTGCGTATCCATGGCAACAGGATGCAGGACGCATCTCCTGATGAGCTCAGCTGAATCTGTGTGTGTGTTTGTGTGTGTTTGTGTGTGTATGTGTGTGTGTGTTTGTGTGTGTGTGTGTGTGTGTGTTTGTGTGTGTGTGTGTGTGTGATTTTACCCTAAATATCTCTGGTTACCAGTTCCTGTTCCCTCTGTAAAGGCTGTTTTGGTGAGATTTGTCTAGTAATGCTAAGTTAAAAGCAGTTCTGCTAACAAAAATAACCAGAAACTGGGCTTCCACTGGAAATAAAACATAAAGGCACGAATCACAATGTTATCCCTATAATGCCAAATGTATCATATTTGATACATACGGTTTCTGAAATGTTTTGCGTCTGACTCCTTTTGCATAATTTAATGGTAAAAACTTTGCTCAAAATCCTATTGTACACAATCAGATACACCTGATAACAGGGGGCAGAAGATACACAAAAAATAATCTGGACTAATCGCATAGTAATAAATTATTAATATCAAAAATGTATTTCTGTTTTTTCTTTTTACATATATTGTTAAAAGGCCAAATGAAGACTTCAAACCAAAAAAAAGTAATTTTCTGTTTTGTTTTATTCTTGGATCGGGCTTTAAAGGGTTAACAATAACATACATTTTTATCGCCACTAAGTGATACTATGACTCTTTTACGCATAAATGGTAGCTTGATATGTTTTTACATGATGTTTTAGTATTAATCACACCTGTTAATCATATTTAAATTAATATAATACAAACGTACAGTGACAGTAGCATTAATTAAATAAGAAGCACAGCTTCTTGTTTAACCCTTTAAAGCCCGATCCAAGAAAAATAGGAAGAATATTGGATTTTTTTAGTCTGAAGTCTTTCTTTGGCCCCTCAACAACATATGAAGAACAAAAACAGAAATGATTTTGATCAAATTAGCGTACAATAAGTCAAAAATATATGTTGGTGTGGTCTTCTACTGGCTGTTATCAGGTATATCTGAATGTGTACAACAGGGGTTTGAGCAAAGCTTTTACCACTGAATGATGCAAAAAGTCTCAGATCCAAAAGACTTCAGAAACCGTATAAAAAATGACACATTTGGCATTATAGGGTTAAATAGATTTAAATAATATAACACTTAAAAAGATGGATTCTACTTGAGGTAACATAAAACAATTAAGTAACCATGAAAACTCCACGTATTGTTGAACAGCATGTGTTTATAGATCAGCCTGCAGATGTCGTAGGTGTGAAACTCCACGTGGGAAAATGTAATTACACAATATGTCAGGCTTTAAAATGCACGGTGTAAAAAAAGACCTGAGACTGGAATGGTTCTATAGTGATGGTCGTGATGAAGAAAAACAAGAGCACAAATGTTCTGTATTCTGTGTATCAAGCGAAGCAATTAGGGAATAAATCACACCACTATTCTGCCGGTGGTTTTTAGGGCTTAAAATAGAACGTTTCTCTGTGGACTTACAGACCTAACACAGTTTGAAAGGGCAGCAAAGGTTATGCAGGGTTTCTAAAATAAAAAAAACTGATGCTGGAATACTTGTACTTACTTTTGACTTGTATCAATTCATATAATATTTAGCTGATGCGTTTAAATCTTTTTAATATAAGGATTTGCTCTCTTGGATCAGACAAAAATTAAATGTAATGTGAGATTACATTCACCCAAAGGCCAGGAACATTCATCCATTTTCGTTACCGCTTATTCCCTAATATGGTCGGGGGGGTGGAGCCTATCCCAGTAGCCAATGGGGAGAGGCGGGGTCACCCTGGACGGTCCCCAGTCCATCACAGGGACACACAGAGACACACAAGGACCAACAACCACACACACTCACACTAAGGGCAGTTTGGAGTCCAACAACCT